ATGTGCTGGATCTGCTGGCCTAAATGCTGGCAAGGTTCCAGACGCATCTGCTTGTGCCTTGATCGTACTCGTTGAACGCTTTGCTGAGAGTACATCATATAGCTCCGTCAGTTGAACGTGATCCACCGCGCCTCGCGCCCCTCGCGCCCCGACAAGGCCCGCCGCATGGGTTACAAGGCTAAGCAAGGCTACGTCATCTACCGTGTCCGTGTTCGTCGCGGTGGAAGGAAGAGGCCCGTTCCCAAGGGTGCGACGTACGGCAAGCCTACGAATCACGGAGTCAACCAGCTTAAGTACCAGAAATCGCTCCGCTCGACGGCCGAGGAGCGCGTTGGCCGCCGCTGCGCCAATCTTCGCGTCCTGAACTCGTACTGGATCAATCAGGACAGTACCTACAAGTACTTCGAAGTCATCCTGGTCGACCCCATGCATAAGGCCATTAGGCGTGACCCGCGCATCAACTGGATCGTCAACCCTGTGCACAAGCACCGTGAGATGCGTGGGTTGACTTCGATCGGCAAGAAGAGTCGCGGTCTCAACAAGGGTCACAGGTACAATCATACTCGTGCTGGACGTCGCCATACGTGGAAGCGACAGAACACGTTGTCGCTGTGGCGCTATAGATAAGCAGGTTATGAATCGCGTGGAATGGGGTCTTGCTAGCTCGTACGTAGAAGCATGTCTGACCGTTCAAATTTCGGTCCCTGTCTGTCGGGGTGGGGCATCCAACCAGAAGCGACCGGGGCCCAGGTGAGGCTAGTCATCAACGTCATGCCCCCTCGTTCTTACTGTGATCTATTGCTTCAGCTCGACTGCATCTACTTCGGGCTACCTTGCCTGGTCTATTTAAGGCCGGCGTAGCCACCTTGCGTGGCGTCTCTGCCCTAGGTCGTATTTGACATCGTGCCCCAGAGTGGCACCGTAGACCCGCCCATCCATTACTCGTACTCACAACGTCACCGCTATAGTTCAGGCCGATAAATGTAGGCCCAGGCAGATGGCCCCGTCGTGGTCCAGTCGTTTCCTCAGCAGCTCGTCCGGCAACAGCGGCACCAATCGCAACTCGTTCATCAACCTCTCTGGGAGCCGTGAGCGCAAGCTCTCGACCTCGAGGTCTGCCCAGCCCGGACTCGATCACTCACCGGCGCTGAATGGCGACCGCACCGCGCCGCGATCGGCGAGCCATACATTTCCCAGGGTTTTTGGCCGCAGAAGGAGCGCCAAAGATGCCATCACCGCTGCCACCTACAATGACGCCGACGTACCCCTGGACGATGAACTGGAGCCAGTGCTACGCGACCCAGCGTCGCCAAAGGGCCCAAACCGGAGCACAAGCGGCACAGGTGGCGGGACCAGGGACGGCGAAAATCGAGTGTCGAGGAAATGCATATGTTGCGGCAGCAGAGTCATGGTGCCTCGCCATCTGGATAACTTCCGTTGCATTGGCTGCCTGACAGTGTGTGACCTGAAACCGTTGCATGAGCAAGTGCCGGAACACGGTGGAAAGGGGGACGGCAAGGCGAAGGCTGCATCGGGAACCAGCGGCATTCCTCGGCGAGCTGCGCCTCTGACTTTGGAGCGAACAAGAGCGATTATTGACAACTGCATAGTAAACTACCTACAATCGAGATGTCGGCGTCATGAGCACCAACCGCCACCGCCTACAGCGCAGGGACAAGCAACACCATTACCTATACGGAACGAGCCAATGCCATCGCCCCAAATGCGGCCCGGTTCACCATCTCAGGCGCCGGAGCCAGTCGGCAGAACGTTGGTCGATGCTCCCCTGTCGACCTCACCACCAGATGCCCCAGATACGGATGTCGCTCCAGCCTTATCAGCTACAATTCGAGACTTTACCGAATTGGATGACATGGCCATGTTCCTCACTGCAGCTCCCTCGCCTCGTCTATCGTCTTCGATAGCTCACGGACCGGAACTGCCAGTGGAAAGAGTCCCTTCAATGTCTCTTCCTCCTAAGCCTACGAGGGGCCCGCCTCCACCACCTGTTATTGCGGCTAATGGCCCTGTCCTGCCATCTCCTTCTAATAGCCCTCATCCTACTAGCATTCCTTCCCCTAATCCTAGACCTCCATCACACTCAACGCCCGGTTCAAGACAAGTGTCTGCAGAATCGTGGCACAAACAACGATACGAGAGGGTTAAGGTCATCTTCAAACCGCTCGAAGACTATATGAACGATAGCTTTGGCGATTACAGATGTGTCAACCGCGCTTTCAGCACCATCAGACTGCTGCCGCATACACGGGCCTTAAGTGAGAGCAGCATTCAGTCCACGCCCGATCGTGTGGACACGACATCCCCCAAGCCGTTTGAGGGCTCTTCAGACCTTGATGCTAAGATGCTCTTGGTTGGAGACTTGGGTGAGAACAGCTCGTGGTGGACAGGGAAACTTGACAGTCGCTACCTGGGAAAATCACAGCGGAAGAGACCCGAAGATGGTCTTCCGAGACCTGTATCATCAAGGTCACCAAACATTGATTGGGTCAGTCTTCGCCAATGGTACGATTTGGTGTACTCGGCCGGCAAAAATTGGAGGACATATATCGCTCGGATGGTGTCTTCGGGCGTCCCTTCTACTGCTAGTCTCGAAGGTGCATCGAATGTGCGTGAGATTGAAGAAGACTTGGCCGAAGCGCGTGATCATGCTATCAAGGCTCTTCTGAAGACCACAGAAAACCTGCTCAAGCGGCCGACACAGCCTTTGACTGAGCCAGAACACATTCGTTTCTTGCTTTTTGTCCTTGCGAATCCGTCGCTTAATCCTAGTACCACGAGACGGAGACGGACAGCTTCAGGTGCCCCTTTACTTCGACCAGGAAGGGTACCTTCACGGCATACAAGCGGATCCACGACACATCCCAATCCTCAGGCGTCTGCTCAGCCTGCAAGGGCCGATGGTCCGCCCCATATGGGAATCGTTAAGCGCGTTCTGGGGCTTTTGGCTAACTCGTCTGAAACTTGTCATCGAAGTTTAGTGGGATGGTTCTCGCGCTACGAAGCCGACCAGTTTGAGCGGCTGATGGACTTGGTAAACGGGTTTCTTACCCACAGAATCTCCCGTGCCTCCAGCCGTCCTCTTAGCAAGAATGCGGTTCAGGACAGCGGGCTCATTCCTGACTTTTCAAACTCGGCGGCTAATACTTTGGCTCAACTGCACACCGCCAGGGGATTGAGCAGCAGCGGCGGTGCAGTAGGACCTGTCGCTCCACGCAAAGATGAATCATCAGATGACACGCCCTGGGCCAATGATTGGCAAATCAAGGCTGCCACCAGAGTCCTGTCTTTGCTCTTTACGGCTAACAACATGTGGCAAGGCCGTCGTCCGACCACTGCAAATCCAGGCATGGAGAAGCTTCGAGGGAGGAAGAATGGCAGACTATTGCATTATAGCCAGTTTTACAACACCCTTCTAGACTACCAAAATCCGGTGGCTGATTTCAGAGTGTGGGAATTGCGAAGGGAAAAGTTTTCGTTTTGTCAGTACCCGTTCATTCTCTCTATGGGGGCAAAAATCAAAATATTGGAATACGATGCACACAGACAGATGCAAATCAAAGCACGCCAGGCCTGGTTTGACACAGTATGGCATCAGTCAGCACACAACAGCCATTTCCACTTGCGCGTTAGAAGGGAGTGCATGGTCGATGATAGCTTGAGGCAGATCTCTGAAGCGGTCGGCACAGGCCAGGAAGAGTTGAAGAAGGGCCTACGAGTGCATTTTGAGGGCGAAGAAGGCGTCGATGCGGGCGGTCCAAGAAAAGAATGGTTTTTGATGCTGGTGCGTGACATCTTCGATCCCAATCACGGCATGTTTGTGTACGACAACGAGTCGCACACGTGCTACTTTAACCCGCATAGCTTCGAGACGAGTGATCAGTACTATCTCGTAGGAGCGTTGCTCGGCTTGGCCATCTACAATTCCACCATCCTGGATGTTGCATTCCCGCCATTTGCCTTTCGCAAACTCCTGGCAGCGGCACCTACAACCTCATCAGCGCCAGCAGCCATCGCACCCGTCATCGGCAGGGGACACATGACCTACACCCTCTCCGACCTAGCCGAATTCCGCCCATCTCTCGCCGCAGGGCTCCAACAACTCCTCGACTTTGACGGCGACGTGCAAGAAACTTATGCCTGGGACTTCGTCGCACCCATAGAACAATACGGCAGCATAACAAACCACCCTCTCAAACCCGACGGCGAAAACATACCCGTAACAAACTCAAACCGAGTCGAATTCGTAGACGCCTACGTGCGCTACCTTCTCGACACAAGCGTCGCCCGCCAATTCGAACCCTTTAAGCGCGGTTTCTTCACCGTCTGTGCCGGCAACGCCCTCTCTCTCTTTCGCGCCGACGAAATCGAGCTCCTAATACGTGGCTCCGACGAAGCCCTAGACATCAACACTCTCAAAGCCGTTGCCGTCTACGAAAACTGGAAATCACCCACCCCACCGCACCCCACCGTCCCCAACCCCTCCGAAACCGTCCCCGTAATAACCTGGTTCTGGAACATCTTCACCAACTCAACCCCCGTCCGCCAACGCCAACTCCTAACTTTCATCACAGGCTCAGACCGTATACCCGCCATGGGCGCGACGTCTCTAGTCTTAAGGATATCCTGTGGAGGAGATGGATGGGGGGGAGGGGGGAAAGAAGAACTCCAACGATTCCCTGTAGCGAGAACTTGTTTTAATACCCTTGTATTGTGGAGGTATGAGTCGGAGGGGATATTAGAGGAAAAGTTGTGGAGAGCGGTGGAGGAGAGTGAGGGGTTTGGGTTGAAGTAATCATTTTTGTTTTGGATGCGTGACCTAGGCAGGTGTATTAACATTGGAAATTGACTATGGTTTGGTTGAGATGTTGTTGGTGGGTAGGGTGATTGTTATCAGAAGTGTGGTGATGTTTGGTCGGGTGGGACGAAAGATAGATTGAAAGGGTTATATTTAATTTGTTTGCTCATTGTAATATGAAATGGGTTCTATAGTGTAGCGGTCAGCACATCGGATTCTGATTGATTGTGGGGCGACCCAAAATTGGTATTCCGGTAACCCCGGTTCGATTCCGGGTAGGACCTTCTTTTTTTCTATATCTTTTTTTATTGCAGAGGGATCAGATTGTGTGGTGTCTTGGTTTTTTTTTTTTTTTTTTTTTTTTTTTTTTTTTTTTTTTTGTTGATAGAAACTGCTGTATAATGCGAGTTCACTGACCTGCTCCCGGAAGAGTAACTTTTTGGACTGGGGATTCGTGGAGCAGATCCATCAGTGTTGGAAGAGCAGTCTATGGGGTTGGTAGAGAGAGAACTACGGCTATCTTCAGAGTGTATACTGTCGCGATGGAGGGGATGTATTGCACGAATGTGAAAATGACGGCAACAAGGGTAGGAGTCTTGCACCGGACAGTGGCCGACTATTTAGGCTGCGTGACTTTCATCAACACATGTGGTCGGATGTACCCTGTCACGGCACGTTCCGGTGAACCCTTGCAGATCCATTTATGGATGAAAACAGTTTTCGTCGGAGGAGTGACGAAGCTGAGCTTCTGTGCTGACTTTCGTGTTTGGACAAATGGCCGTATCGTAACCTTGCAATCCATCCCTCTTGATCAATCCTTTTTGCAGAAACGCTACCTCCGCCTGCCTCCCACTCTCCCACTGCCCCGCAGTCGGAACGTAGTGGGGTAAACTCATACCCGGGCTTTGGCACAGGGCGGAGAAAAATGTCCGAAGCTCCAGGAACAATGACAATCTCCCATGGCGTCAACGGGGAGAGCTCTCACTCAGTATTCTCGCCCACAATAGTTCCCGTTCTGGGCAAAGACAGTATCGTCGTCGACTACGGCCTCTGGCAGAATTTTGTCGTTCCGGATTTGTTTACAAACCTCCCTTCCAGCACCTACGTCCTTGTATGTGACAGCAACATCCACAAACAAGACTATGTGCCCCAGTTTGTACAACAATTCGAGGCTGAGAGGGCCAAACGAGAGTCGTCCTCTCGTCTGCTGATCTACCACCGCATCCTCCCCGGCGAGGCGAGCAAAAGCCGACGCATCAAGAGCCAGATTGAGGACTGGCTACTTCGCAACAAATGTACGCCAGACACGGTCATTGTAGCCCTTGGCGGCGGCGTTATTGGCGACATGGTTGGATTCGTTGCTGCGACATATATGCGCGGCGTGCGTGTCTGTCAGGTTCCTACGTCCCTGCTAGCTATGGTTGATAGCAGTATCGGTGGGAAGACGGCGATTAATACGCCGTGGGCGAAGAATATGATAGGTGCTTTTTGGCAGCCGGAACGGATTTATATTGATTTGCAGTTTCTAGAGACGCTGAATAAGAGGCAGGTGTGCAATGGTATGGCTGAGGTGATTAAGACTGCTGCTATTTGGGATGAGAAGGAGTTTGAGAGGCTTGAGCAAGGGGCAGAGGCCATCATGGCTGCGTTGGAGAAGCCCATTGGTCCGGACCGATTCGAGGGCATTAAGGATGTGTTTAAGCGGATTGTTTTGGGCAGTGCTAGGGTCAAGGCTGAGGTGGTGAGTGCCCATGAGCGTGAAGGTGGACTGAGGAACCTACTCAACTTTGGCCACTCGATTGGGCATGGGTATGAGGCCTTGCTGTCTCCTGATATCTTGCACGGTGAGGCAGTGGCCGTGGGGATGGTCAAGGAGGCTGAACTTGCCCGTTATAGAGGCATTTTGGATCCTGCTGCTGTTGCTCGATTGACGAGTGTGATTGGGGCCTATGGACTACCCACGAGTTTGGATGATCCACTTATCACTACCCGTACCGAGAAGCTTTGTTTGGTGGACGAAGCTTTGAGGAATATGGCAGTGGATAAGAAAAACTCGGGCAAGCAGAAGAAGGTTGTGCTACTCTCACGTATTGGAAAGTGCTATCAACCTCATGCCACCGACTGCAGCGATGAGGACATTCGCGTTGTCATGTGCTCTGCGATCAAGGTCCTTCCTGGCGTGGAGCCTAGCCTTGAGTTCACGTCCCAGCCGCCAGGGTCGAAGAGCATCAGCAACCGCATCCTCCTCCTGGCCGCCTTGGGCACGGGAGAGTGCAGGATCGAAAACTTGTTGCACAGTGACGATACACAGTACATGCTGTCTGCAATTACGCAGATGGGCGGTGCAACTTACTCCTGGGAAGACGGCCGTCTGGTGATTACCGGCAACGGCGGGAAACTACACGCGAGCAAGGACGATGTGTACATTGGAAACGCGGGAACAGCATCACGCTTCCTCACAACAGCCGCCTGTCTAGCACGTCCATCCGAAGATGCCACGCACACGATTCTCACTGGCAACAAAAGGATGCAAGAACGTCCTCAAGGCCCATTGGTTGATGCACTACGCAACAACGGCGTGAAGATCGATTACGTGAATGGATCAAATTCCAACAGCTTGCCATTGCGTATTGCCGCTACAGGGGGCCTTGAGGGGGGCGAAATCGAACTCACTGCCAAAGTCAGCAGTCAGTACGTCAGCAGCATCCTAATGTGTGCACCTTATGCGAAGAAGCCGGTTACTCTACGGCTGGTTGGAGACAAGGTCATTAGTCAGCCTTACATTGACATGACCATTGCCATGATGAAGGTTTTCGGAGTCGAGGTGACCAGAGGCTCTGGCGAGAATATCTACTACATTCCACAAAAGACATATGTGAACCCCAAAAGGTACGAGGTCGAGAGTGATGCCAGCAGTGCAACTTACCCACTCGCCGTGGCCGCCATCACTGGCACCAGTTGCACAATTCCCAATGTTGGCTCGGCTTCGTTGCAAGGTGATGCTAGGTTTGCTGTCGACGTGCTAAGGCCAATGGGCTGTCGTGTTGACCAGACGCCTACGAGCACAACAGTCATGGGTCCACCCGAAGGCCAGTTGAAGGCTTTGCCTGATATCGACATGGAGCCCATGACGGATGCATTCCTCACAGCTTCCGTGCTTGCTGCTGTGGCGAATGGTACGACCCGCATCCGCGGAGTGGCTAACCAACGGCAAAAGGAGTGCAATCGTATCCAGGCCATGAGGGTCGAGTTGACCAAGTTTGGCGTCAGCTGTCGTGAGCATGAAGATGGGATGGAAATCGATGGTACTCAGAACATAGTGTCTGCACTGGATGGTGTGGAGTGTTATGATGACCATCGTGTAGCCATGAGCTTTTCCGTCCTAGCTTGTGTCGCTCCAGCGGGTACACTAATCAAGGACAAGGACTGCACGGCCAAGACATGGCCGGGTTGGTGGGATGAGCTTCATCGGATCATGGGCGTACGTCTAGAGGGAGTGGACACAGCTGCGGACTCGGTCCCACTCCATGGCAGTCTGGTCAAAGGCTTTTCTCAAGACGCCATGCCGCTAGCCAAGAGACGTGATGTCAAGAAAAGCATGATCATCATTGGCATGCGTGCCGCTGGCAAAACGACAACAGGAGAATGGGCTTCACGCATCCTCGGCTGGCCATTTGTAGACCTCGACACCGAGCTGGAAAAGCAAGAAGGCATCACAATCCATGAAATGCTAAAAGATGATGACTGGGAGACTTTTAGAAAAAAGGAGCTTGAGTTGCTGAAGAAAGTGATGAGAGAAAAGCCCGAAGGCCATGTCTTTGCCACCGGCGGCGGCGTGGTCGAAACACCAGAGGCAAGGGAGCTGTTGATCAAATGGCAATCAGATGGAGTTGTTCTAAGCGTAATGAGAGATCTGCAACTGGTTGTTGACTTTTTGCAATCTGATAAGACCAGGCCAGCGTACTTGGAAGACACTATGGGTGTCTATCTACGGCGTAAGCCTTGGTTTGAGGAGTGTTCTAATGTTCACTACCACACGCAGGTGGTTGACGAGAGCAAGACGGTGGTGGGATGGGGTGGACCGTTGGATGACTTTGCTCGGTTCCTGTTCACCGTAACGGGACGCAGCGCAGCATTGGACATTGTGCTGAAAAAGAAACATACTTTCTTTGTTGCTTTGACGGCACCGCGTGTGCAGGATGTGCTGCCTCAGCTGGCGGAAGTGACAATGGGAGTGGATGCCATTGAGCTGCGAGCTGATCTGCTCATCGATCCAGATACCAAGGACGGTCTAGCGGGGGAAGACTTTTTGAAAGAGCAGATTGCCCTGTTGCGGGCCAACACCCCGCTTCCGTTGATCTTCACTCTACGATCTACCGGTCAGGGCGGCAAATGGCCAGATGAGCTGGTGGACCGTGCCATTGGACTCTACCGCGTGGCGCTCAAGATGGGCACCGATTTCGTCGATCTGGAGCTGACGTCTGCCAAAGAGATCAAGGACTTTGTGTTGTCGCACAGGAAGATGTGTGTCATCATCGCATCTCACCACGATTTCTCTGGCCGGATGAGTTGGGCTAATGAGGGTGAGGACTGGATGACGTGCTTTGAGCAGGCTCGGGAGTACGGTGACATTGTTAAGCTCATTGGTATGGCCAAGACCACCAAGGACAATCACGATTTGACTTCGTTCAAACAAAGAGTTGGTCTGACCTACCCTGAAATACCTGTCATTGCCATGAACATGGGTGAAGTGGGTAAGAAGTCGCGCGTTGATAACGGCTTCTTAACACCGGTTACGCATCCTGCTCTACCTTCTGCGGCAGCACCAGGTCAGCTTTCGGCGGCAGAGATTCGAAAGGTGTTGGGCATCACAGCTGAGATTCCAGCTAAACGATTCTACATCTTTGGGAAGCCGATCAGTCACTCACGCAGTCCGGTGTTGCAGAATATGTTGTTCAGCGTAACAGGTTTACCGCATACGTATGAAATGTTTGAGACGGATAATGCAAAGGACCTGGTGCCGCTGATACGGCGAGAAGATTTTGGCGGTGGCAGTATTACCATCCCGTTGAAGCTGGACATTATGCCATTGCTTGACGAGCTAGACGAGGGAGCTCGAATAATCGGGGCGGCGAATACCATTGTTCGCGAAGGCGCTGTTCTACGAGGCTACAATACCGACTGGCAGGGCATAGTCTTGGCACTTACCCGGGCAGGAGCCCATGGCACTTCTGCAGGCCGCAAGACAAGCACAGAAGAAGCCGGCCTGGTCATTGGTGGGGGC